TAAATTGTCCTGATTTAAAATTAAATAAAACTTAAATTTAATAAAAGTCTAAAACTAATTTGATTTTAAGTTGTAATTATAAATCTTAAATCTAATATATATTCATGTGAAATGTGTAAAAACGATAGTTATACTAAAACGGAAGGAGTATATCATCAAAATAGTTTCACCTATTTTTTCGTTGACATTGATGATTAACTGAAATTAGCTAGTAGTAATAGTATGAGTTAATAAAAACAAAAAATTATGAGTTAAGTAGTAATTTACAAGGAAACAACAAATTAAACTGAGCAAGTGCAGAGCAAAAAGATATACTAACGGAAAAGGAAGGAAACGAAGGATTAAGGTGGGAGGACATTGAGAAAATGAGATATTCATGGAATGTTGCATGTGAAGTAATGAGAATTGTTCCTCCTCTTTCTGGCACTTTTCGTGAGGCCATTGATCACTTCTCTCTTAAGGGTTTTTACATCCCCAAAGGATGGAAGGTAAGATTAATCTAAACCCCCATATATCATTCTCATAATTATGATCATGCATTAAATCATATATATTGTGATAAACATAGTTATATTGGAGTGCCATCGCGACACATAAAAATCCAGACTACTTTCCAGAACCCGATAGATTTGAGCCAAACCGATTTGAAGGAAGTGGTCCAAAGCCGTACACATATGTTCCATTTGGAGGAGGACCTAGGATGTGTCCAGGGAGAGAGTATGCTCGTCTTGAGATTCTTATATTTATGCACCATCTTGTTAAGAAGTTTAAGTGGGAAAAAGTGTTTCCAAAAGAGAATAAAGTAGTGGTTGACCCCTTACCAATACCAGCCAAGGGTCTCCCTATTAGAGTTTCTCCTCAATCTTGAGTCAATGTTTGAAGCTGATGGATCACTGGTTATTGCTACATTAATATAATAGCGCCTAAATATGAATTATAATGTCTTGATATAAAGTCTCCATTGTAATTGTTGAATCACGGATAAGAAAAAGGATTTTGCTACTATTACACAGCAAATTTTTCTTGGTAACCGTTGGGTGATTTACAATAATTAATTAATTGATGAGAGTACGAACACGAAACGAAACGTATAATTTCTATATTCACAATAATACCTGGGGTTATCGAATTTTGATCTTGGTTCGTAACCTCGGCTCATAATATCAGTCGGTGTCAGTCGATCTCCCAACAATAAAATGGAGACTACGAGGTCTTTGGAGCATTAAATAAGTTCTCCATATAGGTAGGTCTTCAGATCAGTGGGTATAAGACAGTTGAAGTTAAGATTTTGTGGTTTTAACTTAAAGTTTGAAAAGTTTTGAGTCCGATGCAAAACATTTTTGTTAGTTGGAATTTATTCTTCCATCATTTTCCACGGAATGTAGGACACCATAATGGTAAATTGGTTTTAAGCAATAAAGTTGCATCATGTGTATTCCTTTGCATTCATTCTTAGGGTGCCTTCGCTTGGTATCATTTTTTATGTTATACGAAATTATAACAATGCTGGTTTATCAATATAAATTTTGCATATGGAGCATAACAATATTTGCTTTTTGGATTGAATAATATACTAGACTTGGGTTCTTCCATTTGCTTGCCAATAATTGTCATCAATCTATAACTTTGTTATAATCGTTTTGGAGGTCCAAACCCCACATCGACTCCAAAACCAGTTGCGAGGCAGCTGAAACCGTGGCACTCTAGCCTCCAACGGCTCATCAAGGCACCTGGTTTTTCACTTCAGTTTTGTATGTTTCTCTTCGTTTATAACCAGTCCTTTGATTCCCATTATTCTTTCATCGCCAGATTCGCAATCTTCAAAGCCAAACATAAAATCCAAAAACAAATAGTTTTCAACTGAATGTTGAGATGAGTTGTACGAGCAAGGCATGGACTGTGGTGGCGAGTATCGGTGTCGTGGAGGCATTGAAAGACCAATTAGGCGTTTGTCGATGGAAGTACGTTCTCCGTTCTATGAATCAACATCTCTGGAACAACGTCAGACCCATTTCTCAGACCAAGAGGCTCTCTTTCGCCATCGTTGCCTCTGGTAATACAAAGCATGCGGAGGATGGTGATGTACTTGAGCTGTTGGCGTCCCAGTTGGTCCACTCGGATCAAAGTATGGATCAGAGGTTTCAACATGTTTGCTCAACAAACTCCAAGTCAAAAGTCTGCATATGGCTCGATTGGGTCCAAGACTCACAAGAGCAGAGATCTCATTTGAAAAGATACTCGGA